GGCACCTTTCCTAAGTGGATAGACTGTGCAGATGTCTTGCCAGTGCAACAAAAAGGTTCTAGAAAGAGTGGATAGATTTTAGATGGTCTCCAAGAATTGACAAAATCAAGCACATAAGGATGCATGATCCCTGGAGGGTTTGTTGGTCATATCCTAACCTTCACTGAAGGTGATATCCAAAAAGATGTTTGGTGCTTAATTGCAGCCTCAGATTTCCTGTATTACACTGTCAACCCTGTGCCTGACTTTGTAGGCAGGGGGTGTAAAGAGGGTTCCTGGTATGGCCTGCAGGTGTGGTTCAGTCTTTTTATGTTTTAATCACTGGAAATGTGAGAGTTAAGAGAAAGGATGATAAATGCCTTGTAGCCTGTAAAAAGTGCAATTTACCTAACTGCATCTCTAGATATAACAGAGGGAAAGGAACATTAATCCTTCACCAGTCTTCCTTCGTCTTACTACCGGCCCACATTTCAGAGCCACGGCATGCTGATGCTGGAGTTGAGGTTTTCCAGTAGACACATGCTCAGGGGACCAGACTCAAGCGAGCTCTTGGACTCATAATTCTTGGTTATAATTTTTCAAATTTTATTTAATCTCGTTCATCACTCTACAGTTACAGCCTCAGTGGCTAGATCCAGGACATTCAACGTGCAAATTTTCTTAATAATTTGGCTCAAAAATACATCCAAGGCCTTCAATAATCATAAATATTGATGAATGCATTGAAGCTAACTTGAATGCCTTAGAAACTTGTGTCCTACATATCAGTAATGAGCTCTCTGCTCTCAAGTTTAAGGAAAGGCTTAAATGCCATCTGACTATGAAGGTCTGTGTTACTGCAGCCAAATATAAGCCTTACCAATGGGACTTGGAGAAGGTTAAATCATCTAATGGGCATTTGGCATAGCAAATAATAATAGCCTGGATCTTATGGAGTCACATCACAACATCCAGGAAATTCAAAAAAGCAAAATCCATCTTTTGGATCCTACTTCTCTAACTGGAAATACTTCAAGAATGGAATGGCTTCAGCCCTGGAAACACGCTGAGACACTCTGCATGGTGTATGATTGGCATGAGATGTTGCTCCTAGTTCTTATTTGTGTTGTGATAGTAGGTTGTCACGCCCTCAGAACACGAATCCAGGAACTTGAAATAACAGCTCATCATTTTCTATTGCAAAGTCAAAAGGGGGAGTGTGCAGGGTGCAGCCTGTGAATTACTTGGGGGTC